CGGCCACTAAAAACAACGAACGATGAGAAGGAGAGACAGAAGAAGTACTGGTCGATGAAATCCGTCAATATCAAAATTTCAGGTATGTCAGCTCAATGGAAACGACATGGCGCATTTTAGAACATAAAATTGCCTGTGCTCCTACACCCTGCTATATGAAGAATTTGATGATTTTGATAACATCCAAAGACGTCTGGACAGTCGTTCAAAATTAGAAATTGTCTTCAAGTAAAATAGAGAAGATCAAGAGACAAGACGGTATTTGTATGCGGAAATACCTGAACATTATACATGGAATAACAAAAACACAGAATGGAAGAGGAGAGGACAGATAAGTAAACAATTAGGATGCATTGTCGAGATAACACCATCGTCTGACGACAAGATGGAATTATACTTTTTACGCATTTTATTAACAAAGAAGCGTGGACCGACAAGTTTTGAAGACATACGAAGACATGAAGACGGTACGATTTCTGAAACGTATAAAGAAGCTTATAGAATTAACAATTTCATTCGTAATGCAGATGAATTTGATAGAGCCTTGGGCGAAGCTGCCCTAAAATGCCATTCTAGAAAATTACGACGACTTTTTGCACTATAATGTTGTGTAATTTTCGACGAAGGTGTTTTAGAGCTTGGACCCCTATGAACAAAGATCGCAATAATCGCATCGAAGATTATATTGTTTTAGGTTTAACTGCGGCAGAAGCAGAAAGAAAAGCTTATGAATACGTTGAGGAGATCGTAAGAAGAAACAGACCACACTTAAGCCTACGAGCAATAGGAATTACACTTAACGAAGAACGAGACGAAGAAAACGACGAAGAACGAGACGAAGAAAACGACGAAGAACGAGACGAAGAACAGGACGATATAGTGTATATTAAATTAAAGATAAATTTTTATTTAATTTTTTGTTTTATTTCAAATTTTGAATTTATTTTTTGTAATTTTATAAATTACGAAAGCATCACAAATTTTTACTTGGCAAGAAATGGTAAAAAAACCGTTAGAATATGCGCGGTTTAATCATTAAGAGTCGTAACTCCGCTCTCAAATTCAGAATAATTTTTTTTTAGTTTTTTTTTTTGGATTTTTGATCGGGTAAAAAATTTTTAGTGCGTGTATCGGTTTTATAAAGGGTTGGTTGTTTAGTGAAAAGTATTTTGTTGGGAAAATATAAAGTATTTATCATATTTTTTAAATTATATTTCTTTGCAACCATGGTGGATAGGTCGCCATTAAAAATCATCTTTAACGGCTAACGGTTTTTTATCAATTTTTATTTTATTTATTTTTTCTTGAAATATGTATTTTTTAATATTTGATATTAAAATTATTTAATTAATCATATTAATTTATTTTTTTTCAATTCATTTGATTTATGGTAAATGATTAAATCGATTTGGTTAAAATCGATTAAAAATTTAGTTGTCATTTGTCATGTTTCTTCTGTCATTTTTCTTTTTTATTTATTTTTTATATTTAGATGTTTAAAATTTTTTGGTATTGAATTACTTATATTATTATATAAACAGTGTCGGATTGAGATTTTCAAGGATTTTTAGTCAGGAAGAAGATAAATGAATTGTTTTGAGATTTAATTTTTGATGAAAAGTTGAAAAAAAATTTTTATGTATTACTAGGAAATTTTTCTTCAAGAGTTTGCTGTTTTATTCTGAGTCTACTGATTAAATGAGTTATTGTTTTATTTCAGGTTTATTATTTGAACGAGAGCTTATTATTTGAACGAGGATTTATTAGTTTTTTTTGTCTAATACATTAATAGTCCAATCCGACACTGCATACAATTGTTGATAAAAGTAATTATTTATTTAATTTTAATTATAGAAAGTTATTTAAGAAAGTTATTTATTATTAATTTTACATTTAATAAATTTTTGTTTAATGTTTCGATTCTTTTATAATATAGTATATTTGTTATTTTTTAATGTTTTTTTGTCAATAAAATATAATTCTTTATTTGTAATGTTTAATTTAATCAAATTATAAATGTATTGTGTGATTGAAATATCTCGTAATTTAGTTATCTGCGAGTGGCGTACAAAAAAGCCATTACTATGACGACCGAAGAAATGGAATTACAAGCAAGTAATCCACATGATAGAAATGTGCGAACATTGTGGAGCCCTGTATTTTACAGCAGAGAAGAAAAACCGTTCTAATGTACGGCTTAGTTGTTGTAAGAACGGAGCATACAGTTTGCCTTCATATTCAAATTGTCCGCAAGCCTTGAAGAACTTGTACTTAGGGAATAGTAGCAATGCTATTCGGTTCAGAAACGAGATAAGATCAATAAATAGTATCTTCGCTATAGCATCTTTCAATACCAGCAGAAGAGTCCAAAATCACCAAGGACAACAAGGCCATTGGTCCTTCAGTGTATGTGGCCAAATATATAATATTAATATTAATAAAACGTCTTTATTAATATATCATATGACGGTTTCTCCACATTGCATAGTGGTGGTAAGTAATTTCAACAATTTATTGTTGATAGTTGGTGTAAGATCGAATCCAACCGCTTGAGGTGGATTCGAAAAAATAAAGAAAAATTTAGAATAGCCACTGAAGAAGCCGTTCGACGACTTCAACGTGATGCCGATCGTCGCGAACTTCCTCGCGTTGGTAGATCGGTCATTATTCTACCATCTGCGTTCGAAGGGGGTGAACGACATCGTCAGAGACAATATTTAAATGCAATGACTGTTATAACCAAGCACGGTAAGCCTGATCTTTTCATCACTATGACTTGCAAACCGAGATGGCCGGAAATTGTCACAAATTTAGGACGCCCGCAAATATCGGAAGATAGACCCGATTTGGTATGTCGCGTTTTTCATGCCAAATTATTAGAATTAATGGACGACCTTGTACAGGGTTTTTCATTATATTTTGACCACTACTTATTTTCATTATTATTGCGAACACAAAAAAAAGTTTCAAGTAAAAGCTTTATTATTTTATCTGTACCGAGTAAAAATATAATAAATTGCAGAATTCTATATACAGGGCGTTCCCAACAAAATATTATTTCAATTTTTTTTATGGGATACCCTGTATATTTTCCAAGTAAAACAGTTGTTTTTTTTATTAAAAGTTGTCAGTTGATTGCTTGTAATGGGTTATTCTGTGGTCGAAAAAGTTAAGGTAAAACAACAAAGCTTTTACTTGAAACTTTTTTTGTGTTCACAAGAATAATGAAAATAAGTAGTGGTCAAAATATAATGAAAAACCCTGTACAGAAGCAAATTTTCGGGATCGTTCGTAACTACCATTATGTCATTGAATTTCAGAAGAAGGGCCTACCACATGCCCATATTGTGGTTACTATGCACCCGAATAACAAGATTATCGACGTTCCAGCCGTAGATCATATAATTAATGCATATATTCCAGACGTTTATACACAACCGAACGTATATAGATTGGTCAAGGACTTTCACATACATACATCGTGTGGAAGGCTAAATCCTGATGCTTTAAGCAGGCAGGATAACAAGTGCAAGAAGTATTATCCAAAAGCATATAAACAACACACGACGTTACACGCAGGAGATAACAAACGGCCATAGTACAAATGACCAAACGATGGACGGACGAACTATTTGAAAGAATATCGCCAGCACATTTCAAATAGACGTATCTCTTAGCGAAGTTTCATTCCCCCATTAATGTCGAGGTAGTCGGTTCTCTCTATACTATGAAATATTTACACAAGTATATCAACAAGAAAGACGATGCCATTACTTTGTATGTGGGAGAAGATAATACAGCACGTGCTTGCAGAAGATCACAACCGACGAGAACACCAACGGCCACTAACGACAACGAACGACGAGAAGGAGAAACAGAACAAGTAATGGTCGATGAAATCCGCCATTATCAAGATTTCAGGTATGTCAGCTATATGGAAGCGACATGGCGCATTTTAGAATATAAAATGCACGACCAATCTCATTCGGCGTTAGTATTGCCTGTGCACCTACACGGAAAACGCACCCTGCTATATGAATAATTTGATGATTTTGATAACATCCAAAGACGTCTGGAGAATCGATCAAAATTAGAAGCTTTCTTCAAACTGAATAGAGAAGACCAAGAGGCAAGACGGTATTTGTATGCGGAAATACCAGAATACTATACTTGGGATAATAAAAACGCAGAATGGAAGAGACGAGGGCAAGTTAGTAAACAATTAGGATGCCTGGTCGAGATAAAACCATTGTCTGACGACCAAATGGAAATGTACTTTTTACGTATATTATTATCGAAAATACGAGGACCGACGAGTTTTGAAGACTTACGAAGACATGAAGACGGTACGATTTTTGAAACTCATAAAGAAGCTTGTAGAATTAATAATTTAATTCGTAATACAGATGAATTTGATAGAGCCTAAATAGACCACACTTAAGCTTGCAAGCAATTGGAATTACACTTAACGAAGAACGAAACGAAGAAAACGACGAAGAACAGGACGATGAAGATCAAGACAGAAGACGAAGAAAAGACAATTACAAAAATTCAAATTACGACGATGATTTGTCGAACTTTGAAAGACAAAAACGAAATCAACAAATAAACAACGAAGACGAAATAGACGAAACGTATAGCCCGATACATTTAAATCCGGATCAGAAGAGACTATTCCTCAGAATAATGAAAACTATCACGAAACAATATCATTTGAACATACCGCTCGACGTATTAGCTAACATTAGCGACGTCGTGTCTATCGATGATATTCAAGATTCAATTGAATGATAGATCCCAATGAAAATCTATTTTACATTGATGGTCCCGGAGGAACGAACAAGACTCACCTATACAACACAATAATAACATGCATAAAAGAACATTTCCACAAAACGTGCATAACAGTTGCGTGGACTGGAATTGCTGCGAATCTACTAATTAACGGGACGACAGTTCATCGAGCATTTAAACTTCCGTTAGATCTTACGGAAGATACTATGCCCGGTTGGGCTGTAGAAACAAATGAAAGCAAGCGTATTGCTAACGACGTTATCCTTATTATTTGGGACGAAGCACCAATGACCCCAAGGTTTGCTTTGGAAGTAGTAGACAGATATCTTAAAGACATAACGAACAAGAACGCACCCATGGGGGGAGAATGTTGTGTACTCGGAGGTGACTCGCCAAATATTACCCATTGTTATACGCGGCCATAAATACGGCGTTTTAAATGCCACCCTAAAACGGAGCATTTTATGGAATTCTACGACAACATTACAACTAGACTACAATATGCGCGCACGACAACATCCTAAAATTATAGCCGAACTGGACAACCGCACATATTCCCAATGGTTGTTGGATTTGGGAAACGGAACAATACCGTACACTACTTCAAGTGCTAAAGCTATAATCGAAGGCAGTCGCGCACCACAAGATTTAATACAAATTCCACGAACGTTTCAATTGGGTAACATCGACCGATTGAAGAATTTGTTTTTGACAACGATGACGTCAACAGGAGCAATGGCAATAAAGCTATCCTATATCCTACGAATGCGGCAGTGGCCCATGTGAATAACATCATTTTGGATAAGCTCGTAAACATCAAAGAGCGTACGTATTATAGATAAATTTTGCAATATTATTTTAAAATTAATTTTGTATGTGTTATAAATATCTAGTGTTTGATATTATTTATTAATTATTCCTAAAGATTTTTTATAATTAGATGTTTAAAATTTTTTGGTATTGAATTACTTATATTATTATATAAACAGTGTCGGATTGAGATTTCCAAGGATTTTTAGTCAGGAAGAAGATAAATTAATTTTTTTGTGATTTAATTTTTATTGAAAAGTTGAAAAGTTTTTTTTTTGTATTACTAGGGAATTTTTCTTCAAGAGTTTGCTGTTTGATCCTGAGTCTGCTGATTAAATGAGGAGTTATTGTTTTATTTCAGGTTTATTATTTGAACGAGAGCTTATTACTTGAACGAGGCAGAAGACGAAGAAAAGACAATTACAAAAATTCAAATTACGACGATGATTTTTCGAACTTTGAAAGACAAAGATGACAACAACAAATAAACAACGAAGACGTGCATAGCAGTTGCGTGGACTGAAATTGCTGCGAATCTACTAATTGACGGGACGACAGTTCATCGAGCATTTAAACTTCCGTTAGATCTTACGGAAGCCCGGTTGGGCTGTAGAAACAAATGAAAGCAAGCGTATTGCTAACGACGTTATTCTTATTATTTGGGACGAAGCGCCAATGACCCCAATGTTTGCTTTGGAAGCAGTAGACAGATATATTAAAGACATAACGAACAAGAAAGCAGCCATGGGGGGAGAATGTTGTGTACTCGGAGGTGACTTTCGCCAAATATTACCCATTGTTATAGGCGGCCATAAATACGACGTTTTAAATGCCACCCTAAAGCGAAGCATTTTATGAAATTCTACATCACAAATAGACTACAACATGCGCGCACGAAAACATCCCGAAATTATAGCCGAACTGGACAACCGCACATACTCCCAATGGTTGTTGGATTTGGGAAACGAAACAATACCGTACACTACTTTAAGTGCTAAAGCTATAATCGGAGACAGTCGCGCACCACAAGATTTAATACAAATTCCACGAACGTTTCAATTGGATAACATTGACCGATTAATACAATTTGTTTTTGACAACGATTACGTCAACAGGAACAATGGCAATAAAGCCATCCTATATCCTACGAATGCGGCAGAGGCCCATGTGGATAACGTCATTTTGGATAAGCTCGTAAACATCGAAGAACGTACGTATTATAGATATTATTTTAAAATTATTTTTGTATGTTATAAATATCTAGTGTTTGATATTATTTATTAATTATTCTTAAAGATTATACTATTAAATTTAGTAACTACAGATAAAGTGTTTTAAGTAGTATGTAAAGTGCCGCTTCTGTCCCAAGTTCGATCTCAAATCGAAGACCCACACTCTTAGTATATAGAAACAGAATTTGGAGAAATCCTGGTATCAAAAACGAAAGTTGAGAGTTGAAAATACAAGTTCAAAGAATATTGATAATAAAGATAAGCTGAAATAAATAAACTCAAGAAAAGTCTATGTCGTGCATGTGCTTATCATTCTTTAGATTCATAAAGCCTTTATAAGTTATGTTAAATCACTACTTTTTCAAACGACTTTTTAAAAAAGATTTATTTTTTATTGTTACAAATACATGAGTTTGTTTTAAATCTAATTAACAACTGACTACTTTTCTATTTTACTCCTACTTATAGTCTCTGTCTATTTTGCACTGTAAGTGTTTTCTTTGTTCACTAGAACTTGCTGACACACGCGACCGTCCTTAATTGTGTTTCGTAACCTGATACGCGTGTGCAACGTTAATTGAGATGAAGGTCACTATTTTCACATATAACAGTTATATTAGTAGAGTTTTCGTTTAATTTTTTTAAATCTTGTTTATTTATAAGTTTAGTATATCTATCAGGTAAAGTAATTTTAAATGTATCATCTAAAACACAAATAATTTTTGTACCAAATTTTGTATCCAAAATTTCAAAATCAGTAGCCTTATATTTTTTATTCATTTCAAGCTCTGATAGTTTTACAAACTCGTATGAGCGGTTTAGTTTTTTGAATAGCGATTCCATTTTGCTTTATATTTATAAGAGAAAAATTTTAAGAAAAGAAACGTATATATATATAAAAAAAAAGAAAATATCTAGATTCTTAGATCTAACTTGGGACAGGAGCGGCACTTTATATACTATTAAAACCTAAAAGAATCTAAACAATATTTTTTTATTTATATATGTTTATGTTTAAGAATCAAACTATTTTTTATAGATTTCATTCATAAATTTTTTATTTTTCAAAAACATGTTTTTTCTATTAAATTTTTTCCCTTCTAAATAGTCATGTCCCAACTAATAATACCAAGCTACCAAAATACTATTAAGCAGTTGAAAACTACTGCTAGAAATTATAGAGATCAATATGGTCTCAACATAAAAGGATATTCTAAATTGCTAAAAGATTCATTATACGATTTATTAAGAGATAGAATAATTGAATATAATGAAAATCAAGAAAGACTTCATGCGGATAATGAAAATCCAGAAATAAATCGTAATGAAGAAGAAGCTAACAATTTTTTACAATCGTTTAATGACTATGATTTTGGAGGACCAAGAATCAGACAAGAGAAAGTGCATAACAAATTAAAGGATTTAAAAGAGTTACCAAATATATATAACGATAATGAAGATGTTCGAGTAATAAGAACAAAAGGTGCGTGGAATAATATGCTTGTTAACTATTCTGTTTATTGTGAATCTGGGCAACATGATTTAATAAAATATTTATACAATGTTCAGGACAAAATATGTGAAACTATCAAAAAAGAACTTGAACGGAAGAAGTGTGTAAAAATTCAATTAGTTGTGATTGTTCAATATCAAGAATTAAATTTAACAGGTGATGTAATCAATTTAAATAAAATATATATAAGTTCCACACCAAATCAAATTTATACCGAAAAGAGCTCTATAGAGGATATCTTAAAAAATGCAAAAAATGAAATAGTAAGTAAATTTGAAGCCTTTACAAGCAAAAATACAAAATATAGGTTTGATCGAATTATTCAACTAGACATTCTATCTGATAAATCCAATCCATTACGAGGTGGAACCTATGTGCAATTACCAAGCTTTATTTCTCATAAACATTGTTGCATCAACGTTAAAAATGTAAAAACAAGAATATTCAAATGTCTAAAGCAAGAAAATCTAAGATGTTTTGAATATGCATTGGAAAGTATACTGAACCCTGTTAAAAAATCTGATCGTTCATCTGGCTATAACATTGAAAGATATGAGTGTTTAAATATGTCTTATCCAGTTGAATTAATTCCATACAATATACAAAAATATGAAGACTTTCTAAACATAGCTATTAATATTTATAAATTTGAGAAACCTTTTTTTAATCTTTTATACTTAAGCAACAATCATCAAAAATATGAAAAACATGTTCAATTACTATTATATGAAAATCATATAGTTGGAATTAAGAAACTCAATTAAGTGGACAAATTCATAAAAGACAACATCTAACATATATATGTAACAAATGTCATGCAACATTCAATACGAATGAAAAATTAAATGAGCATATCCAAATTTGTATTCATCAAAAGACTATAGTAGAAATGCCTGAAGAAGAAAATAATCAACGAAAATATAAATCTAACGGTGCAGAACAGTAGATAGACAAGCTATGTACGGTGACACATAGGGAATTCAATGTGTAAGAGTGAGAGGTACATATTCAATGGATAAGAGTGAGACAGACGGTCTGAGGGAAAAACGGGGTAGTGGGGGGAGTGGGGGGATTAAATTTCGTCGAATAGAATTTTTGCGTAGTGGTAAAGCCAAAAGGGCCTTAGCGTATATCTTCACTGCTATTGGTCCGATTTAAATGGGAAAAACGGCATTATGAAGAGAGCATGATATAGATTAAAGTTGAAAAGAAAAAATCATGCGCAATGACAGGACAAAAGGACCTTAGCGTATATCTCAGCTATCGTTGGTCCAATTTAAATGGGAAAAACGGCATTATGAAGAGAGCGTGATATAGATTAAAGTTGAAAAGAAAAAATCATGCGCAATAACAGGACAAAAGGGCCTTAGCGTATATCTCAGCTATCGTTGGTCCGATTTAAATGGGGAAAACGGCATTACGTAGAGAGAGGAATATAGATTAAAGTTGAAAAGAAAAAATCATGCGCAGTGGCAGGACAAAAGGACCTTAGCGTGTATCTTCACTGCTATTGGTCCGATTTAAATGGGGAAAACGGCATTACGTAGAGATCGTGGTATAGATTAACGTACAAGAGAATTTTTGCGTAGTGGTAAAGCCAAAAGGGCCTTAGCGTATATCTTCACTGCTATTGGTCCGATTTAAATGGGAAAAACGGCATTACGTAGAGAGCGTGATATAGATTAAAGTTGAAAAGAAAAAATCATGCGCAATGACAGGACAAAAGGACCTTAGCGTATATCTCAGCTATCGTTGGCCCGATTTAAACGGGAAAAAGGGAGTTATATAGAGAGAGGGATATAGATTAAAGTTGAAAAGAAAAAATCATGCGCAATGCCACAAGGGCCTTAGCGTGTATCCTCACTGCTATTGGTCCGATTTAAATGGGGGAAAACGGCATTACGTAGAGATCGTGGTATAGATTAACGTACAAGAGAATTTTTGCGTAGTGGTAAAGCCAAAAGGGCCTTAGCGTATATCTTCACTGCTATTGGTCCGATTTAAATAGGGAAAACGGCATTACGTAGAGATCGTGGTATAGATTAACGTACAAGAGAATTTTTGCGTAGAACGAAAAGCCAGAAGGGTCTTAGCGTGTATCACGTGGTCCGATTTAAACGGGGAAAAGGGGGTTATGTAGAGAGAGGGATATAGATTAAAGTTGAAAAGAAAAAATCATGCGCAATGCCATAAGGACCTTAGCGTGTATCTTCACTCGATTTAAACGGGAA